AAACTATAAAGACAAAGATAAAAAAAAAAAGAATAGCAAGGGGGGAAACGATACATGTTAATTAATTAAATGTAAAAATATTCCAAAATATAGAGAATAATAATTGTTTAACATTACAAAATATAAATCTGTGGTACAGGAAAACACATTGAATCATTTTTGATCAGAAGATAAAATGTCTTTTCAAAAACAGATAAGTCACATATTTCTTGAATCTAATCTTTGATATTAGGAATATTATCATGTTTCTAATTTCTGAAAATAATTCTCTTAGCAACACTACAAGCCCAATACAACCACAACTCTTCAAAAATAGTGAAAGCCTAAAGTTTCAGGACATAATTTAAGACAACATTAATGACTTTGATAGTAAAAATCTTTCCATGAATCTACTTATATACTTTAAAATATTATTTTAAAAGGATGTCAGTGATTAACATGAATTTCACATTATCAACAAAGAGAATCTGATGTCCATCCTTTTGAATATGTTATTTGGTGTGTTCAGTAAACTCCAAATAAAATCTTTGGGTAGATCAGATTTAATTTTAAATCCACTGAAATATTTTAAATTAAAGCTTAAATTAAATAATTTAAAATTTTTAAAATAAAATAAACAAAAATAATATGCAACCATTAATGATTCATTATTGACTACAGTATCCTAATCTTTTAATCCATGAACCATAAATGTCTATAAATGTCAACGTTAAAACATTATTTTGTGTTTGATACAAACAGGATCTGGCTAACAAAATGATATTTCACCGACCACCAGAGGGGAAAAAAATCTGTAGAAAATGTATTGAAGCAATTCATTAAATAAAGTCTGATGGGACTTTATTTTCTTATTCAGAAAGCATGTTCATTATTTAGAATTGGTTGTAATAATTATTAATCTATAGATTTTATTACCACAATATGGAGTGATAGCCCTTCACTTGGAAGAATTGGATAGTAGGTCTATCAAAAACTGTTAGTATTGAAGATTCAGTGTTACCTCTGGGCTGTTGGCGGCTTGCCTCCAAAAACCAGTTGTACAGGAAAATATCAGCAAGAGAGGGATATATCTACATTTCCTGCCGGTGAGCATCCCACAGACATCTGGTTGGGCACTGTAAGAAACAAATTGCTGGGATAGGCCTTAGTCTAATTCAGCATGTTATTCTTATAGTCCAATGATATTTTAGGACTAATCATGCCTTCTCCGGCACTGAGGAAACCAGGCATATTTTTCCCCAGTAGAAGTGGTGAGGCATTGTTAATGCTGGGACACTTGTAGAGATAATGATATTTTTTTAAAAAAATATTGTTGGAACAAAGGAAGTTGCATTGTACTGAGTCAAGTCATCATAATCCTTAGTATTTCCTATGCTAACTGGCTGCAGATCACCAAGGTTTCACAGTGAAGTCTAACTCTAGTCCTAACCACAGATGCTGAGACTGAATGGACCTGCTGCTTGCTCCTGAGCTGTGGCTCTTTTTATTAAGGTAGTTAGAAAATATTCTGAAGGAAAGAAAGAAGGAAGGAAGGAAGGAGAGAGAAAGAAAGAAAAAAGGAAGGAAGGAAGGAAGGAAAGATGGAAAGAGAAAAGTTTCAGAAAAGTCAGAAAGTAGGACCTGGGATTTTGTCTTCTACCATTGTTTTGGATCACATGGAGGTATCAAGTAACACTTGGAAATTGTAATAGGAATTCTGGTAACAACTATAATTTTCCCATAGAACAGGGGTGGGCAACCTTGGCTCTTTTATGACTTGTGGACTTTAACTCCCAGAATTCCTGAGCCAGCCATGCTACCCCTGCCATAAAGGATACTGAGATTTATGTATTAAAGAACTATCTCTTTGTGGAATGTGTTGTCTTTTGCAACAAAGATGTGTGACAATTATGCATTGGCCTTGTGGCTGTTGCTTGACGAGCAAGTAATAGCAATGCCTAGGAGGATCTGTGCACAAATCCATCTTGTGAACAAGTTGGACACATTTCTGGTGTGAGATCTGCTCATGGTCACACAGTTCTTGGTGTCCTTTCACCTGGATTATGCAGCGGGTTCTACATGGGACTACCCTTGAAGATCACTCACAAGTTACAGCTGGTCCAAAATGCAGCAGTGCAGGAGTTAGGGGTACATCTTGATGTGCCCATTTAACAACATTTCTACACAAACTGTATTAGTTACCTCTTGACTTCTGACATGCGATTCAAAGTGGTGGTTATCTCTTACAAAGCCCTTCATGGGTGAGGGCCAAAGTATTTGAGGAAGCTCCTGTGTTTAATTATGTCTGCCTGCTCGACAAGATCAGACAGGGCTGGGATGCTTTAGATCCTGTCTTTTAAACATTGTCCTCTTGTGGGACTGAAATAACATGCCTTCTTTGATGCTGTGCACCCCCTGCTCTGAGATATGGACAACCTGAACCTCTTGGCTTTTGGCCAGGCCTTGAGGTCCTGGCTGTTTCCTAAGCCAGGATGTATCAATATATGTTCTGTGTCTGATTATGCCCAGTGCTATAGATGGGGGGCCATGGATTATCCAAAATTGGTCTGCATAAGTGGCTGGCTGGAGTGTGCACACAGCTCAACCTTTGTGACCAGTGAGTTGATGGGCAATCACACACCTGTGTACTGGCCTGCCGTTCATGCAGCCCAGTTCCCCTCTCTCTCCCCCTTGCAGCTGGGCTGCAAAGATTGGGGACCACTGCTAGAGATATGTGTATTTATTCAATTTATTCACTTTTTTATTATTGAGGTACATTTGGCTATTTTCAAAATTCATTGCTCAGAGTTGCCTGGTAACTGGGCAGCCATATAAACTGAATGAATGAATTATTGAAACTGTTTACTAATTTAAAGGAAACTCTGCCACTCATCGGCTGGTAGTTCTGCCATAGCTTGCTGAGGCTAAAGAAAACTTACAGACTGAGCAAAACCCAGCAGACTTTGAGCCATTAGTGCTAAATGCTGACCTTTCAAAGGCTGTTGAGAACACAGCCTTCTTCAGCATAGCCTTCTGAGGCTGCTTACGTCAAGATGTCTACAAACATCTGGCTAGCCTCCTTCGCTAGTGTAAATTGTTGTGGATTTCCAAAAAGCTGTTGAAATGTCATCAAGAGAAGCAATACATAACTGCAAGCTACCCCCCAAATGCAGGAATTCCAGCCTGGGAATGCCAAGTAGATGTGATAGTATAGCTACTCCTCAGGTTTCTGCTTAGTTCATCTATGTCATAGAAGACAAGAATGTCTCATTCTCCAAAGCTTTGCCTCAGCCTGTTTAATTGGAACAAGGCAGCAATTTCTCCGGTCTTTACTTTTGGAAGAGAATCTGCTAGAGAATTCCCCCCTCCCCCAAGCACTGAGCACATTAAATGGAGAAGAGGGCTTTTCTCCTGTTCAACCTGCTTTTTCCATATGAAAGAATGGACATTCTTTTTGTTTCATAAATTACTGGGAAGCACATGAATAAAACACATGAGATCATTTGATGGAGGAATTCATATCCCAAGACAGAATGGGCAGTTACACCTATGCATAGTGACTCCAAAAGAATTTTCATTGTGCTTAATTCCTACATAAGTCTTTATTCAAGGCTGGAGTCTTAGCTGATCACTGCTGATCAGCCTTCTCATCCTGATAATCTCTTCATGTGTTTGTGACTACTCTGCCCAGAATGTTTTGCTAGTAGATAGGAATTCTGCGTAATATAATTCTACTACATCTAGAGGAAATCAAATTGAGGCAGACCAATGTATGAATACAAATGGCAGGATGGCTAAATGATTAGAGATTTATAAAAATCAAAGTAAACCATGGTGCAGAATTAGGAGGCTGTCTAGGATTGGAACTACCAGCTTTGGACTGCAAGAATCTAGATCAGGGGTCTTCAAACTTGACCCTTTTATGACTTGTGGACTTCAACTCCCAGAGTTCCTCAGCCAGCGTGCCTGGTTGAGGAATTCTGGGAGTTGAAGTCCACAAGTCATAAAAGGGCCAAGTTTGAAGACCCCTGATCTAGATTAACATTAGATGGCAGAAGAGAGAGAGAAAAAACAAATGGAGAAACACAATTTGCTGCCAACTAGTGTTCATCTGGATTTTTGCAGTCCAGACCTGGAAGTCACAACTTAGAGCAGCTAATACAGGTAGTCCTCAACTTAGGACCACAATTGAGCCCATTTCTATTGTTAAGTGAGACATTTGTTAAGTGAGTTTTGCCCCCTTTTATGACTTTTCTTGCCACAGTTGTTAAGTGTATCACTGCATCTGTTAAGTTACTAACAAGGCTGCTAAGTGAATCTGGCTTCTCCATTGACTTTGCTTGTCAGAAGGTTGCAAAAGATGATCTCATGATACTGCAACCGTCATAAACATGAGTCAGTTGCCAAGTGTCCAGAATTTTGATCACTTGACCATGGGGATGCTGCAATGGTGGTAAGTGTGAAAAATGGTCATAAGTCACTTTTTTTAGTGCTGTTGTAACTTTGAATGGTCATTAAATGAACGGTTGTAAGTTGAGAGCTATCAGGAAAATCAGTTCTTTGTCTCCTTCTGTTCCAGAATTTGATTAGCCTTGGATAATACGAATATTGAACTGGGTATTTGCTATATTCCAGTTCAATTAAACCCCTGGAAGAGTTAATCAGAGTTCAGAAGCAGGATGTTGTTCACTCCTTACTCCAACTCAACAAATGTTAATCTTTGCTTTATCATTACCATGTTTACTTTTTGTCAACCTGCTCAATTGTTTTTTCTTTTCTTTTTTTGTTCTGGCTGGCTGAATATTTAATAAGGATTGACACTTCCTCCTCCAAAGCCCTACTGCTTTTGTATTAATTGTATCTTTGGTTATCAGTGTTCAAGAGGGGAGACTAGTCAATCTTTGTGTAGCTTTTCTGTTTTATGAGAATCTTGCTCCTTCCTTTTTGGGAGAACTATGTAAGTCCCGTGACGCAAGTGTGTCTTCCTGTAACATCCAGTCTTATATTCTTGTGTCTCCTAGAGCACTGTTGTTATCTTCTATTTGCCCAAGATAAGAGGTAAGTATTTTCTTTCAATCTTTCAGGGATTTTTTTTAAGAATGCTTTTTCATATTGTATGATTTTACCCACGTTTTATGAAGCAGATAGAATATTGCATAGCAGTGCAGCAAGTAACTAAATATACAGAACAATCTTTGAGCCAATAATTTCCCAACCTTGGCTATTAACATTGGATCCTAGCCTCCAGTACCACTGAGGGCAGATTTCAATAACAGAATCACGTTGCTAAACCTTTAAGAGTTCAAGCCTACGCCTGTCTGTCAGAAGTCAGCCTAATTAGGTTCCTAAGCATCTATATATGAATAGAGGCTAGTTTGTGTATTCTGTCTGTGGTAAACAATTATGCTGCTTTGCTCTGCAATAATAGTGTAGTTCCCTCACTGTTAATGGAAAGAACTTTCGAATAACTGGGAAAAATAACTAGGTAGTAAATAGATCTATGGGCAGCTATTGGAATTGAAAGGCAGGGTGACACACTGCAAAGTATTTTATGATCCTTGTCATTTTGTAAGAATAGAAAGAATAGAGATAGTGAAGATTTCTTCTGGTGCTTGCATTTCACCTGGGGTTATCTGTTAATTGACTTTATCCAAAGGTGTTATAAATGGAGTCTACCACATTTATGCTTCTCTGATTACTGGGGATAACTATTGTCTCTGGTGTAAGGATTGTACCCTTTATTTATACACTGAGTATTAGCTTCCATGTAAAGGTCTTGATTTAGTATAGCAAAGATACCATCTCTTTAGAGGGATGAAATTAATGAAACACCAACCAGCAGGTGGAGATGCATGAAAATTGTATCACTCATGAACATGCTACTTGAGATCTCATTCCCACATTCACCAAAACTGGTTTAGGAATTGACTGATTAAATGAAAATGTCAGTTTGAGTTTCTTGGAAATGTTTAGAATTAAAACACTAAAGGGAGAACATTTTGCTGAACCTAAAGAGGTTTGAGCCTGAATGAGAGACACTTAGAATCCCTATGTATTGAGTTTCATAATGGAAGAAATGTGAGAATTACCCGGTAATGAGAAGGATGCCTTTTCTGTTTGTTTTCTGATTGCAGGATGTTTTTCCTTGTTTGATGCTTGCTTTAAATTTATTTATTTATTTATTTATTTATTATTTGTAGACTGCCTCAATCAATTGGAACTCTGGTGACAAACAACAAAGCAGGTTAAGAAGCTGATCAACAGAATAAAAATATCATATATCCCCAAGATGAATATCCACAAGCAATCAATTGGATAGAGTTAGGGTTCGGGTCATGTTGGAATTGTATAGTTTTCAGTGCCTTGCAAAAATGCAAAGAGGGAAGGGACCAAGTGTATTTCTGGAAAAAGTGTATTTCAGAGCACTGGAGCTACAACAGGGAAACAAAATATTCTGCTTAGTCTACCCTCCACACCCTTCTTAGAGGGAGGGTTCTCAGCAGGCTTGATGTAGATGTTCAGACCAACAGGTAGATTCAGTTCTGGCTAGGTTGTTCCTGTTGTAACCTGATGCTACATTGTCCAGGGCTTCCAAGCTCTAACCCACATTTTGAATTGACTTGGAGGCTTATTGTGAATCAGTGCTGCTATACTTAGAGTTGGTGCTATTCTGTAATAGGGGCTTAATTCTGCCAGAGGTCTGGTCAGCACATTATGAAACAGGTACAGCTTCTAAGCTGTCTTCAAAGGCAACTCCGTGTGGCAGGTATGGCAATTATCCAACCAAGCATTGATCAGAGGCTGACTCACCAGAGTAAACTAATGGGATCAGAATGCTCTGATGTTTATTGATGACAAGCAATTTCATCTAGAGTTTAATTTGAATTTGTTTCACTCTAGCTAGACTCCAACAACTTCCAGACACTGGTTCAGGCTTTCTAACACAGCCCAGGGTGGATTTTTATAGCTAAATGACATCAGTATATTAAGGAAACTGCACCGTAAACTGACAGATAACCTCTCGAGGGAGAAGAATGAGTCATGGGAAACATGACACTGTGGTAACCAAGGACTAGAGTATTTTCCCTCCATTACTTCTGAGTTGCACTGCCCACTTAGGTAGAAATAGAACCACCTTTGAATGGTGCTCCTAATTCCCAGCCCTTGTAGATGATCCAGAAGGACACCATGACTGAATGACACTGAGAGATCTCATAAGTCCCCCTGTCCAGGTGTCTCTGCAAATCATTGACCAGAGCAACAAATGTTTCTATATCATAGCCATCATCTTTATTGGTAAACAGATAATCGGTTGCTTTCCACAGATAGCTGCCTTCCAAAAGGTTAGAAATGTGCACCATGCAATCATTGTCATCAACCAATAAGAGCAATAAAATATCTCATCAAGCCCACTGATTTTTTAAGAGATCTCAGCATATCAAGCATAATGAGATTTTTAGGAATGTATTGAATGCTTGCAATTGATATCAGACAGATAGACAGGCAGGCAGAAAAGGAAATTTTGGAAGGGAGACATGTCCACGGAGAGGTCATTTCCTTGATATCTGTTATTTAACAGCTTTGATTACTGGTTCAGAAACCAAGATCTCTGATAGTGTAGGCAGGCTTGTATGGTGACACAGTTCTTTGGAAAACCCAGTTTCAACCCTTATAGGCCAAAACAATAACTTTAAATTGGGCACAGAAGTAAATAGGTAGCTAATAAAAGTGAAGCAAAATTGATGTAATGTGATTTGACCATCTGGCACTTAGGAGTATTCTTGCTTTTACATTCTATAGCAATTGCACTATGGGGACATCTTTAAAAGCAGTCCCATATAAAATGCATTACAATAATCAAATCAGGTTATAAGAAAAGAGTGTATTATATTGTCCATGCTATCACTTTAGGAGACTTATGACAGAAAGCAGCTGGCCAAGCCTGACTGATATTAACAAGTATAAGCAGGCTCAAACTTACAAATGAGATTGCCAGGAAGCCCCAGGGCTGTGGTATGGACTAGGAAGGTAAAAAGAAAGCAGTTACAAATTATGTCAGTATGGTTGCCAGAGAACTACATGAACATATCTGTGAAGACATCAGGAATCAAGATTAAGTCTGAGAAGAATTCAGTAGTATCTTACAATTACTTTATTGTGCTGATTGGGTCTTCTAGGCCAGAGTTTCATTTAATTAAGCCATGGGATATGAAGAAAAGCTGACTAAAGCAACTGTCAAATACAAGAAATCAGGAATCCAAGCAGTTCAGATGAATATATAAGTTTATTGAATGTTACAGCTCTCTACAAAAATCTGAACTACTAACGGTCAAAGCTAATTGGCGGTAGATGAGTCAATAGAATTCAAAGTGGGCTGGACTTGAGACTGATGATGCATTTAACCCTTCCCTCAGGCACAGCTTGGTCATCTCCTACAGGAACATAAATATAATTAGTAGCTTGAAAAATAGTTTTGATCTTTTCTAAAAGGTGGCATAGCTGTTTCCTAGATATAAGGATGGTCAGTTCAAAAGATTTGATTCACAAATTCTGATAAATGAGTTCGCCCCATATCTCAATTGGGATTTGGAAGATAGATCCACTTTTCCAGCATTATCCCTTGCAACTGATGCAATGAACTGTAGCTTATGAGAGCTTATATCTTAATAAAATATCTTGGTTGGATAAGTTGCTCCCAGATTCCTCCTCATTTTTAATTTTCATCCATGGGTATCTATTTGTTTCTATCATGGACAACTAATTAATACTATACCAATGTTTATTTTGCATTAATTTTTATTTTGTAATCTGCTCTGAAAAAAATTGTGCCTTTAAACTCTGCCAAAACATTGATCTATTATTTAGATAAATAAATATTATTCAAGCTTCATGACTTTTCCTGCCTGTTCTTTCTTTCCCTTTCTTTTTCTTACTTCATTTTTTATCTCTATGGAAGTTAAATTTGTTTGTCAAGAGGAAAAGCATGCATCTTATAAAACTCCTGAAAACATAAACATACTTAAAAAGCACCTTCATCACATTCTGTTTCCAGATGTGGAAGTTTCACTCATTTACTTTTTATCCTGTTGTTGTTTGTTGAGCTATTGAGAAAACATTCTTCAGAATGCAGGTTTAGGTTATAAAAACACATTGTGATTTTTATATCAGTGATTCATTGGCTTCAAAATAAATCATGATGGAGAATGGTTGAAGGTGAAATATGACTTCTAAAATGCATTTTCTAAACATAATTCTCAAGGCTTACAAAACTTAAAATAATTTACTTCTGAGTCAACATGCTTAGCATTGTACTGTTGTCCAAACTGGCATCAATCAGATGTATTGGTCATGCCACTTAGGATAGAGAAGAATTGTTATCTAACATAAGTTAAAAATTGGAAAAGCTGTACAGGAATTTGCCTTGGCATCTACAAAATACTCTGGTGATATGTCTTGTGGTGAACAGATTTTTTTTTCATGATGGATAATGGGTTTTTGTTTTGTTCAATACCATAAGGGGGAAAGTTTGATCTTGTAAGAATGGGAATGGGACAACTTGCCACAGCCAGCTCTCTGTGGCCAACTCATCGTGGCCAACTCACAACAGGACAACTTGCCATGGGCAACTCGCCGTGGGACAACTCACTGCAGGACAATTTAATAATTTTATTTAAATAGATAAAATAAATAAAAAAATATTTTAATTTTTGCCATTCACATTTCTTTCTGAGGCAATATACAACTTTATATATACAATCTCATATGAATGCAATTGAATGAAAATAGAGAAAGCCTTCTTTTAAAACATTCAGTGATAGATGCCAATCTAAAGCCAGCCTAAATAAAACAACAGTTTCAACCTGCCTAAAAGTATCAAAATACAGAATTTACTGAACTTACTTAAACAGGAATTCCATAATTGGGCTGTCCTGCAAAAAAAAAAAAAAAGACTCTGGGCTTACATTTCCATTAGCTGAATCCCTCCTGACTGTGGAACATCAGATGGCTTCTAAAAACCAATGTAAGCTGAGTGTTATGTACTTTTCTTCTTCTTGTTTTTTTTTTTTGGGGCAAAAGCTGCTAATTACCAATAGGTACATTACAATTGCATGCAGGTATATATAACTAATATGTAAAATGCCTTCTTTAATTAGAGAGCCTCTCATCTTGTCTGACTAACAGATGAAGAGAGTGCTACATTATCTGCTTCTTTCAAAATAGCCACTCGGGAGTCTAAAGTACCAACTTGAGGGCAGGATATATTCCCATGTAGATAAAGCTTAACACCATTGGTGTGCTTTTTTCTCTTGATAGAAATACTTTATACATGCCACACATTCCTATGGATAGTTCTCAAGCAGCCCATCTGAGTTACAAATGTTGCAGCTGGAACTTGCCTTGACCTAAATATTTATTTCTTACATGATTGTTGATCACCATGTCAGCAAATAATTTCCTGAAAGCTTTTTCCTCCCATCCTCTTGATTTTTGCACATAATTTTCTGCGTAATCTTGACTCAAAGTCTCCACAAATTGGATTCAAATTCCTTGAAAAGTTATGTCCAGGTGTTAGTTTATTTATCTTTTCCTTTGGGTGCATGTTACAAATTCCGTCAACAAATAAGAAACAAAATAAGATGACTGATTCCCTCCATTGTTTCCAATGTTTTACTTCTTTAATATAAAATGTATATAATGGAATTACAATATAATTAGATACATGAGTGGTTAAATATGATTCAGTCAAATACTATGATAAAATAAATTCTTTCCTACAAAAAAGTGATTTGAATATCTAACATCGTGTTTTTGAAACGTGACAACTTATAGATGTATGGATGTGGCTGGGAAATCCTGGGAATTGTCCACATATCTTAAAACTTGTAAAGTTTAAAAAACACTTGTCTAATATGTATACTTTTTGTGGCAAATGGAAGGCAATATCACCATGTTAAAAGCTGCATATTTTATGTTATATATGTTGGGCCCAAAGTCTAAAAACTAGCAATGTAAACCAAAGTCAGTATTAAATAAATTTGGAACAGACTTTTCCAAAAGATGCTCGTGGTATTTATATTTATAAAGACCTTGTCTGCAAAGGAATATATTCTAATAGGATTTTGGAAAATGGCATTATTTCAACTCTGATGCATATGTGTGCAGCTTATATGTTTTTTCTATACACTCACCTTCTTAACATACTTGGTTTAAAAAAAAAAATCAAAAGAGAAAAAACAATCCGCAAAGTGCAAGTAGCAGTTTTAATATATTTCAAATATTACAATGCAATAGTATCTAAATTGGTAAGAAAATAGCTTACTTCTAAAGATATTCAGAAGACATGTCAAATTCAGCAACTACTTCCGATCCCCCCCCCCAAATGAAAGTCATGAACTGGAGAAGGTCAATAGCTACATCATCCTTGATCAAAAGATTAACATGGAGGGTGACAACATAGAATACATTTTGAATTGAGCTAAAGTAGGTTAGAAAGCATTGGGTAATTTCATGCTATATTCAAAAGCAATAAACCAACCTGCTTAAAGAGGAAATTGTTTAATCAGTCTACTACCTATGCTAACATATGCAAAACACAAACACAGTGCAGAGTTGAATGTTATACAAAGAAGCATGAAACAGCAAATGCTTAACATTTAGACATGAAATGTATAAATCCATCAAATAGCAGGAATATGTCACATAATAGGTAACCAACAGCAGATCAGTGCTGGACAACAGCAATGGTATTATTGGCAACATCCGAGTACCACCAGCAAGGTGTCAAAAACGTGATGACCAAAAAAAAAAAAAAAAAAACCCCAGGAAAAAAGTAATAAAGTACAGGTAGTCCTCGATTTACAACAGTTTGCCTAGTGACTGTTCGAAACTAGAATGGCACTGAAAAAAGTCCCCCCCAAGCCACAGCCGAGCAAAACACCTACCTGCCCACGGCGGCGCTCTTCCTCCTGTCCAAAGTTTTCATTGTTGTGAACATTTCTGTTGGAGATTGGCAGCGGGGGTGGTGTGGGTGTTTGGTTTTTATTCTCCCTGTCTGCTGGGTGGTTACAGCAGATTTTGGTCACTTCACATGACAGTTGGGGATTGGAAAGCAGAAGTAGGAAAAAAAGCAGCAATTATAATAACAAAGACAAAGGGATATTTTGGGGAAAGATAATACTGTGGGCTAAATAAAAATATTTCATTTTCTAAGCTGTATCTGCAGTAATATGCAGAGAAGATAGAGCTCAATCCCCCCCCCCCAAATTCTAGCTCTGCTGTTATGAAATCTTGCTTTGTCCATAAATAAATAAACAAATGCCATAAAAAACCAAATTACATATTAAGGCAGTACCTTTATTGGAGTAATACAAAGAATACACAATAATGTGCAAGCTTCACTTTGGAATTCTCTAGAGCTACTTTTTTCCATTATCCTGGCCCTCCATAAAATACAGGAAAACAACAACGAATGAGCATTCATTTTTTGGAGCAATCTTTGGATACTCCAAACTGAAATTATTTTTTTTGATTTCAGTAAAGCTTTGGCCAGTTTTATTGGCTGACACTTAGCTCTGAATTTCCAATTATAAAGTCATGTGAAACAAGGAAGTGACCCTTGTCAAATGCCTTTTGGAACGGAAAATCCAAAATGAATGATACACCATTGTAGCAGAAAGAATTGCCCTTACAATTATTTTGTAGAGATACCAACCTGACTATACTATATAAAAACCCAAAAAAGAAAGTTTTACTACTGACATCACTAAATAACCATAAGTGATGTATTTGTATTTGATTGAATAGTTCAGTAAAAAAAAAGGGTGAATTTCTAATTATTTTCTGCTTAAATTATTAGCAATTAGTTCCAAAAACACCTTTCCAGCAGTAAGTGATACTGTTTGGTCTATAGGTTTGTGCTGTGGAGAAGACATGCAACTTGCTCATTTAGTTGTTAAATTATATCTCACCTATTCCTTTGAGATGATGAACGGAGCATGCCATCTTCCTATTTTTCTCTAGCAGCAAAAGAGAGCAACTGTTCCAAGTCAATCAGTGAGCTTCCATAGCTGAAAATTAACCACTACTCCATGTGGCAGTGTGGAATCAGAACCAAGTCAATTTATGTCTGG